CAGTCATGGCTCTCACAAATATGCTTTCCTTGAGTCGATGTTTGGAGTTGAGGGTAATTCTGGATGCTCAATAGCGCCAGATGCGCTGAGAACAGTGACCAGTCAAACTCTTTGACAGTGGCATGTGGCAAGAAACCAGCAATGCTTTCTAATATCCTTCATGCTAAAGGTAGACTAGAGCTCCCCTTTGTAGATATAAAAGCTTTCCCTAATAAAATGTGAAACTTCACAGAATTAGGGTCTCAGAGACTTACTCTGCCATCATCAAGCCCACATTTGTCAGAAAGCCCTTCCTGATCAGCGTTGGAGATGACAATCCTAGGGAACTGTGGTGATATAAACATTGCCTGTCCTATCATAACGTAAAATAAAAGAAAGTAAAAGGTTAGTTCTTAAACGAACTCCTTTCAGAAGTCATAACTTCACTAGAAAGATTTAAAAGGATAATAGAATGTAATTAAAAAGGCTTCCTGGAAGCATATCTAAGAAAAGGTGATTATATCACATTGTATTTCTATATACTAGGAAAACCCGGCACTCGCTACCAAAATAAGCAGAAATGAACACTGGCAGCTCAGTTTTTGGATGGTTCCATTTCCATTTGGTGCCACCACAGACTCTGGATTGAGGCAGATGAAACTAGAGACTAGAGCATGGAATCAGGCCCTCAGTCTACTGAAGATGATGGAGATAAGTGTAGATACCAAGCAAGAACCAAGTTTCCCTCTTTTATCCTAAACTCTTAGCCGTACAGGAAGCTTTTGTTTAGAACCTAAGGGTTCAGTCTAGGTTTTACCATTTGCCTATGTAAAAAGAAAAAAAGAATACCACCGGCTAGTACACATGCCATGTACTGATTGTAAGAACTTTCATTTCGCATGGTTTTTTAATAATGAGGAATCTGACACTTGGCCCCAAACATGAATGTCACTTGGTAGAAGTAAATGTGTGTCAGCATCCAGCAAAATGCCAGAACAGGAATTGGAAGACCTTTGAGCTGCTTAGACCAAGAAGACCTATCAATCAGTTTTGGAATCTCGACCTTCTATGGAAACAGAACCATTTTAAAAAATGCTATCTAAGTTTTGAGGACAACCATTACAGTAGCAATTCAATGTTACTCAGAAGGGTGCCATACTCAGTGACTCTACATGACTATTTTAAATGAATCCATTAAACATCATTGTTTAAGTAACAGTCTGGTCTTTGGCTAAGGATAGATCATGTGTTGCTTAAGTAAAGACCTGCAGGTCTTTCCTCTCAGAAACATCTACCACGTAATTCAAAATAGATGCCTGAAATAATGAAGGGAAATTCTATGAAAATAGTAAAGTTCTTCCTAATGTGTTCAGTCGACTTTAATCACCAGTTGACTTATATATTTTTCAATTGTTTCCTTCCAAAGGCTAAAAACGTCTTATATTTTACATATTTTAGCATTGTTGCCTGTCACACACATGGGCCAATTGTTGTTTAAAAGCTGCAACATTTAAATTGAAATAAAACTTATGCTTATAGTGGTAAATATTCCTGGACTAATAGAATTGCAGCAGACATACTCCAAAAATTGACTGAAGTCTCTGATATTAGAAAGACATAAAATTTATCTAGTTTTACCAAATGTCAAATCAGCAGCTATTGCTTTTAAGATTAATAAAAGATATAATGGCTTCTAGATAGCCTGTAAATAGAGATGACTATGAATGGAGAAGTGATTTACCAACAGTCACCACAATGAGATTTCTTTAAAGGTTACAATCATCAGTTATTTAGTTGAAACACTGCTGAGAAGGCCTGGTCATTTCTTGAATAATGCATAATGTTCACTGTAGATTTGATCTGTATTATAACAATACAGATATTTCTAAAATAATGGAAAAAACTATCTGTTACCTTCCAATTGCTTAACATATCATTTCCATGAAGTAATTGACTCAGGACATATTACACACTGTCACCCGAGTGTTCTTTCTGCAAGCATAACTTGTAATAATCTGTATACAATGAGTATCACAAAACAAACTCATCAACCTTTATAGACTTTTAAGAAAAGATGTGATGAATACAGGGCAGGCTAAAGGACCTCTCTGAAGCAGTAAATTAAAATGATTAAATTTCTATATAGTTGTGTGGGACAAATTTAAACTTAAGCTTTGAAATTTAATTATTAACATGAACAACTCATCACATTAAAAAAAAATGTTGCCTACATGATGTAAGTACTTTTCATATAAATTTCCAAATGCCTTTAGCTTTATTCAAGAGACTGCTTGGAGAAGCACCAAGTACAATGTCTACTGTTTTATTGTTGGATTCTGAACTGCTCTTCACATGATGCTGCAGGCTATTTATATAAGCTTGTTTATCCATATGAACTTCTTCAAGGGCACAACATAGAAGACCTTAATAAATTAAAATGAATTTCTTTTGATGTTGTTGTTTCATGAATGTTTGATCAGAATGAGTATCAAGGTTGCAATAAAGAACTAGAGTAAAGCAATAAAATATACGTATATCGTACAGCAGAACCAGCTTACAGAAAGTGCCCATTGCATTCCTAGCAACTTTTAAGAGCCAGGCAAACAGTATAGAGTCACTATGCTGACATCTTCAGTTCTAGACTATCACCAGTTTGCTAATTGTGGGAGTATACATGTACCAAATTAGATGTACTGCCATAATATGGATGGAATTTTTAAAATAATAAAATCTGTTTTCTCCTTCCAGACTCCTAAACATCCACCCCAATCTCGCCATTTTTCACATTGACATCACCACGTCCTTCCATAGACTGAAACACCCAGCAGAGGCAAGACCGTATTTTATCTTCTTTTTATCCATCTTTATCTTAAGTAGTTATAGAGTTGAGTTGATTGAAGTCCACAAAGTAAAAGTGCATTATTAGTCACAGTCCAAAGCTGAGACAATTCTCACCTGGAATGTTTGATGATGGTGATAAAACTCAAATATTATTGCTAGAAATGATATGATGTAATAGAAAGAGCACTAGGCAGAAAAGCAAGACAATGAGATTCTAGTTTTAGTTCTGCCAACACTTAACTGTAAACCCTCTCTACATTATTTCCCTCACCTGAAAATGAGGGCATAGTTCTATATAATCTATGATTTTGCATCTCTAAAGGGCCATGATTCTAAAAGCAAGCAGGATCATCACATCATAGAAGAATGGACAGACCGTGGAACCATTAGGTTTTTCTACTTTGGTAGCCACCACTACCAAGGAAGCCTATAAACTATAAACTCCTTTAAAAAAATGGAAATAATAGAAAAGAATTATGTTAAACAACTTAATATAAGTCCAGGCCCTCAATCAATGTATGTCAAATTGAATAATAACAAATTTTGCACACAATGTGATTTCTAACCTGTTGCACTTATCCTTTCATCTTGCATGATTTGGAATAAACACGAAGACAGCCTATTGAATTAACACTTAGGTATACAACATATTTACTAGAATTATATTCACATCTTTAGCTTGGGAAAATTCGCTACTCCTTTAGCATCTGGAACATGGACTGGTATATTACCAAGTTGACATCTACATTCTGAAGGGCAGAAGGGCCCCTTGACAGCTCCCTCTGTTGTATGTTCTTCTCAACCTTTGAATGTCATTCTTACACTCTAGAACAGGAGTTTGTGAACTATGGCTTGTGGGCCAAATCCAGTGGCAGCTGCCTATTTTTTAAGTACAGTTTTATTAGAACACGGCCACGCCCTGTTTACATATTGTCTATGGCTGATTTCATGCTACAATGGCAGAGTTGAGTCCTCCCAAAGCCTAAAATATTCACTATATGGCCCTTGACAGAAAATGTTTGCCAACCCCTGCTCTAAAGGAAAGTCATCTGTTATAACTTAAATTCTAATTTTCCTTCTCTCATAAGCATTAGAAACACAATACCTAAGTAAAAATGGCAAAGATATGAACAGATTCACACATGCACATACACACGTCTGATGACACCTCTTAGCACAGTAAATAGCCACTCCTTTTGACCCTTCATTTTAATCTGAATCCTGTAAGAGGTTACAGCTTCCCACTAGTACCCCTTCCTACAAGAGCCAAGAGTACAGGGACTTCAAAGGTAGTTATCAAGGCGTAATCACATAACTAAAGAACCTAATTCCCCTCTGGGGTTGCCTGCAACTCCACCAAATGTCCAGCTTTATTCCACGTTCATCAAGAATCTAGATACAAAGTTAGGGCACAAGAAACTAGCAGATTCCTTAATTCATATGCCTTGACTAACACATCATTAGAGATAGAAAATCAATAGTCAAGACTATATATACATCAATAAACATATGCATGCACATTCATATGCTAAAAATGCCACAAATCATTAGGAGTTTCAGAAACACACAAGAAAATACCTCTCAAGTACCAGGGTGAAGGCGGCCTAAAATTTTAAAATAATAAATTTTAAGGATAACTGCACCAAGGATTTGCAGGACAAACATATGTTTATATTCACAACTTTTAGGCAATATGTATAGAGACTTGCAACATTAATACACGGATTGATTGTTTTATTCATCAATAAAATCATTATTCAAAGTGTCTGCTACAGTTGGACTCTCCTCCCTTCCTCTTTTTGGTTACTAAAGACAGGAATATTAGCTCCATTCTTTAACAAATATTCTCATACTCCACCCATCAATAATAATTTATATGAATGAGCATAATTAAACGCCAGAAGCACTTTAATGTAAGTTATTTCATTCTCCTTTCTCTGAAACCTTATATACAATGATAGAATATTTAGGCTGACACTTTTTGAAAATAAAATAGAAATAGAAGAGGTTTATTTCACCTTCACATGGTGTCTTTCTCATGCAGAGTTCAGATTTCCACATTTGTATCCCTTTAAAGAATTTGAGATGCAGGAAAAGAAGAAAGGATGATGGTAAACATTTCATCTTAGAGACACCTACAGACCACCATATTACAGAATGAACAGTGGCTTAAAACTTACCTTTGACTGATGTGTTAGGGGGAGGGCCTTCCATTCGCAAGTTCCACGGAGGGTCCCCCTGGTTAGCAAAGTCCCTCATTTTCAGATAGCTAATGGTAAGTCGAATTATGGACGCCTTGTCAAGCTGGCTAGTGATGGCTGCAGGAAGAGGCAACAACTTGGCCAATTCATAGAACTCGAAATTTTCTTTTCCCCGGCGGGAGCGAGCAGCATCTCGGGATTTCTCCTTTCTCAATGCTTGTAAACTGAAATCAAAGGAGTGAAAAAGTGTTGTTTAAAACATGTGATTCTGGCTTTAGACAGAAATTTTTTTTTCTATTTCCTTGTTTCCCAGCAAAAATCTACCAAAATCTTCAAAATTCCAGGGCCATAGTAAAATGAGTTCCAGACAATGTCCACTAAAACCACACTCTACTCCCGGACTTATACGCCATTAAATCAAGTGCAATGAGGAAGAACTGTTGGCTTGTTAGGTTTTCTTCCTCCTATTGTCCATGCATTGATATATATTCATTGTTTCTAAGACATAACATAAGGTTTACAGGTGATGCTTGATGCTATCAGCTGTAAGCAATTTAAAAGATTGGGCCTGTAATATATCTATTCTCAAGCTAACGATTTTGTTCAATTAACTGTTTATCACTATGGGATCTGTGACCATCTAAAGGACACATTTTTAAAAATTTATTTCACTTATCATCTTGGGGAACAAATGATAAACACAAACACAGTTCACAGAATCAAGAAATAAAATGTTGATGTGCTTCCAGCTCGATATGGATTATGATCTTCAGTCAGATAAAGAAAACATTTTATTGAAAATGAAGATTTAAATGTAACTTTATAAATGTGCTGGTGATTGGTTGATAAGAGAATACTTTAATTCTTTAGTAATGGACATACATTAGTAGATGGATACATTCTCTAAGGTACGAGAGAATAAAATATATTGCCCAGGAAAGTCAACTCTAAGATAATATAAATTTAATGTTGAAAGATAAAGCCCTGTATGGGTTATTAAAATTTATAAACATTATAGACACATTACTTCACAGAAGAGGCAACAGGTGGGATCCAGCACTTTGCTTTAACTATTCATGTGCATTTCTGTTTGAAGTTTGCTCACTTTGCTGAGGGCAGATTCTAGTGCAAGAAGTTGTGTGTGAGCATCTGACAGGAGAATTCCACCTACTTTGAATTGCTCTGTTTTGTGTCTGACAAAAAATAAATTCAAAAATCAGGCCCTAATGATAAGTATTTGAGCAATATTTACAGTACCAAGGTACTATTAAAATCATTTGCAAGTATACATTTTATTGAACTCTGAAGGGATTTTAAATCTTTGAATTTAGCGGACTGCTTTCCCATTATAAAATAACAAGAAAGAGAGAAACAAGGAAGGAATCAAGACCCAGAGTAATAGGTCAAAATAAGTTCAGCAGTGTGGTTCCAATCTCTATTAATATAATACGGACAATAACATTCCATATTACATTATAGCATACCTGATATTGGTCATGGTAGAAACACTGAATTCACTGCATACACTCAAAATATCTTATTGAATATCTAGTAATTTAAGTAATCCCATAATGCTCTGGTCAAATACTTGCTAAGCTAATACCCCAATCAATTTCACTCTATTAATAAAATATTCTATATTCGCTAACTACACTCGTGTGCCACATGATGTTTCGGTCAATGACAGACTGCATATACAATGGTGGTCCCATAAGATTAGTACCATGTAGCCTAGGTGCATACTAGGCTATACCAGCTAGGTTTGTGTAAGTACACTCTACCATGTTTGCACAATAACAAAATTGCCTAACGACACATGTCTCAGAATGTATCCCTGTCATTAAGCAATGCATGACTGTAATGTATTTCTCAGAACTAGACAAGTTAATGCTATCATTTTCAGAGTCACAGCAGTCTCAGGTGACAAACTTTTGTCTCTTGATGTCTCAGGTGATAACTTCAGGCAGAAATATCGCTAATTTACAAGGAAAAGATATGTTATGCCACTTATTTCCCAATATCTTGGCTAGCCTCCAATTCCATAAATGCTCAATTTTCACTTATTGAAAACTATGTAAATAAAGTGAGAGATGCCTTAAAATCTGACAAAGTATAACCAGATTCCAGGTTAACATCTTAGGATAAAAGAATGATTTGGTATTCTTCCCTGTATATAATAAAAGCAATCTAACACCATTTAAGTCAGCTGTGCCAAAAGAACTACATCTTTTGACATGTTTTCTCTCCCACTTGTAGAGTGCAGTGGTTCAAGTTCAGTGCTTTGCTCTTTTTGTGTTCTTGTAATGGAATACTATGCCAAAAGGTGGGCTGAACTTACAACAATTTTTTTTTTTTTGGTCCAGTAAGTGACTATGATGGAGCTCTCGATCAGGGGTTGCAAACTCAAGGGCTTGCAGGGTTAAGGTGGGCAATGTCAATGAGTGCAGAGGCCTGATGGTGACTATACTGGAGGACAACCGCCCAGGCAAAAAACAGCACCAGGTTCAGCTGACTGTTGCTTTGGGAGAAGGCATGCCTGGTACTGCCCGATTCCTGGTATTGTCAGATTGCTGGAGTACAAAGTCTGAATTTTTACATGGTATTTCCCAATTTTAATATGTTAACTAACTAAAGTTTTTTTTAAATCATGCAAGCCAAATAAAACATGCCATTTAGTCAATAATGGAGCAGGAACTCATTTTACAATTGGCTAATAATTTGGGAGGCCAATTTTGAAGGTAGTTTTACATGGATATTATATGTAACTTTCTTTAATATATGTCACTCAAATGATCACAAATGGACTTATTTGTTATTAAATTAATATTACTAATATTCATACTAGGAATTTCTCTATTCAACTGAAGCAAGTAGAGGACTAGGCAATTATTCTGAAATTGATATTAATGCATAGTCTTATCAATAATCTAAGGAAAAACTAGTCCTATGGTGAGGCAAATCCCAAGATCACAGGGAACAACCAAATAGGCTCTACAGGCTAGGTAGAGGGGAGATGGCTTTCTATATCCTCTCAGGGAAGGAAGTCCATACATGGACACTAATGCCTTTGGATGCCTTGCCTAAACAGTGCCTTCTGATAGGACAAGTTTTTCCTAGTCCTATGGTGAGGCAAATCCCAAGATCACAGGGAACAACCAAATAGGCTCTACAGGCTAGGTAGAGGGGAGATGGCTTTCTATATCCTCTCAGGGAAGGAAGTCCATACATGGACACTAATGCCTTTGGATGCCTTGCCTAAACAGTGCCTTCTGACCGTGACTTTTCTAAAATACCACTGGACAGAAGTTTCTTTGTGTGTTCCTGCCCCACCTCCTTATTGTTTTTCTCTTCTTCACTCTCCCCACCCCACCCCCTTTTTTTTTAAACTCTCACACACACTGTGTTACCCTACTGAAGTAATCTTATTGGCCATAATCTTAATAACAAAGAGTTTCCATGACTCCCACATCTCATCATTATGCAGACACCATAGTTCAGAAGACTTTCAGAATGATAGCACTGTCTGTAATATGTAGTAATTGGTTTTGATGGCAATAGGATGATATACAGTCAAAGGATTGTAAAGGTTGTGGACATACTGATAGAATAGACGAAGCCAAAGACCTTAAGACAATGACAGATTGTGGATTAATCTTTCACATGCTTTTGTGAAGTAGAGACTAGTTATAAGCAATTCTCAAATTGAATTAAGGACAACATTAAAATCTAAAGTGAATTTTGTATTTATACATTCTGTTCTAGACCAAAAAAATTATGGTTGGATTTCTAGAATACTAAAGAAAGAATGGATTGGTTGCACGTGTGTAAATGTTATGGTGCTGATCTCTGCCATCTAAAATATGATTAAACTTCAGATTCACAATAAGTTACTCTCTGGGACCCAAACTCCTCACTGCTCTAATGTTCTTCCACTGAAACTCTGAAAAGCAGGAAAAAGGGTCTCTTCATTAATCCTCTGCAAATCAAAATTTCAACTCTCTTTGACGATGATATTATCATCTCACTAATAATTACCACTACCACCAAAAAACAATGAAATCAACAACTATTTCAAAACACACATACATATTTACGTATCCGAAAATCATATGCAAAAATATGTGTATACGTGTATATTTTTGGAGTGATAGTAAATTATTTTCATATTCTCAAAAGGGGTCCATTACCCCAACCAAAAGAGTAATAGTATAATGTCTAGAATTTCCTCTTACAAGGCTTATAAAGTTGGATTCCCCCTCTTTTTGTCATTGATGTTGGCAGAATTTATTCTTATAAATTAAGGATCATTATATATTATTTGATATATATATTAAATATATATTAATGTATGTTTCCATTCAACACTTTGAACAATTTTTACAAGTTTCTAAAGTTATACCTTTAAAGCATAGATAACAGGCAATCAAAAATTTTTTACTAGTAATGAAGATTTAGAGGACAGCGCCTGTTAAATGTAAAGTGATTTTTTTAAAATCCTCTCATGTATTTCAAGTTCCTTTGACAAGTTGCATGTTTTGTGGAAAGAGTCCTGGTGAAGGAGTTAGAAGACCCGCCTTGGTCATTTGCACACAGTGTGATCCTAAGTCACAAAGCCGAACCTCAATTTTATCATCTGGTAACATGAGGATGACAAACAAGGCATATTTGGCAAATCTCCTGGCACCATGGCAATGGCTCATATGATCATTTTCATAGTAGCATACTGTAGACTATAAAGCAATAAAACCCTTGGACAATTCTAGATTTTAACAATTAAGATAGTTTGTAAACTCTAAATGTGGTAGAGTCTACTTCAGAGTTTTATGACAGAGAAGAATTTTAAGAAGTTGGAAAGATGTAGGGATGCCCAAAATATAGTGAACCCATCCTTGACTTTCTTGGAAGCCCAGGGGTTAGGAGTGTGGGCTCTGTAGCCATATTGTAGGTATTCATATCATCACACAGTTACCAGCTGGGCAACCTCAGGTAGGTCTCTCAACCTCTTTGGCCTCAGTTTCCTCATCTGGAAAAGGGATATTATAATAATATGTACTGCATAATATTCTAGAGAGGAGTAATTGAGCTAATATATATAAAGTGCTAAATGCCTACCATATTGTGAACATTATATAAGCATTAATTATTATTATTATAATTACAAAAACTCATCTGGGATAAAAGTCCAACTGTTAGTACCACATCTGATTACCATGCTATTTCTCCATAATTCTTCGTAATTTTCTTTAACCAAGCTTCTTTTCTACCACATTTCTTTTTTGACTCTAGTTAGTTTAATTCTAAACACCTGTTTCTTTTCTTCATTGGACTCTCAAACCCCTTTCCCTACTGCCATTTACGACCTTCACTTTAGTGAATTTAACTTCCCATGTAGTGACAGTAGAAATCAAACCAA